AGGCTCGCTTCCGGTGTTCTGTGTGATAAGAATGTGCCTCAAAAACTTAAAGTTAAGTTCTATAGAGCGGTGGTCAGACCGATTATGTTATATGTGGCGGAGTGTTGGCCAGTCAAGAACTCTCATGTCCAGAAGATGAAGGTGGCTTAAATGAGTATGATGAGATGAATGTGCGGTCATACCAGGTTCGATAGAATTAGAAATGAATTTATCCGGGACAGGGTGGACATGACACATGAGGAGGACAAGATGCGGGAGGCGATACTTAGATGGTTCGGGCATGTGAAGAGCACAGGCACTAATGCTTCGGTGAGGAGGTATGAGAGGCTGGAGTTGGAGGGCCAACGAAGAAGTAGAGGCAGGCTGAAGAAGTATTGGGAAGAGGTGATTAGCCAAGATATGACGTTACTCCAGCTGACTGAGGACATGACCATGGATAAGAAGGTGTGAAGATTAAAAATAATGGTAAAGAGTTAGGTAGCCGAGTGTTGTCCTCGTTTCTAACAATAGCTTTGATACATCTCTTAGTGTCTTTCATATATTACTTTTTTTTAAACTCCAAGTCACAATTTTATTACCATTGCAATGCAAAAGATACAATTTGAAGAAGGAGGGTATAGCTTGGCCTTCTATATGTATTGAGAATTTGACACAACAAATTCATACAATAAGTACAGAATTGGTGGGATTATCTCCACACCAACGTGCCAATTGGTAATAAAGTTGAGAACTCATGGTGGTTCGTACATTATGGTACTTGGTCTTCTCTTTTTGACTCGAAATGCTGAAATTTTTCTTCTATCTACATTTAGAAGCCCTTTGACCTGCGAGGCAATGTATCAAAATAAGTGAAAATATACACTTCCTCTAATTGGTGACTTAGAGAAGTCATATTATCCGCAATTTGATTTGCTTTTCTAAAACAATGTCTAATGATTAGACCCTTTTGTTCAACCAGCATTTTTACCTCCATAACAACACTGTTGATTCTCCATGGTGTGGACCATATGCCTTGAATGCAATTGTGAAGTAGCAAGGAATCAGTTTCACCAATAATCAGTCCATATCCTTGTTGAACGCAAAATTTTAGGCTAAAAAGAAGGGATTTTTCTCCTGCTAAGTTACTTGTTCCTTGACCCATTGGTATAGCATAAGCCATAAGCATTTTACCACCACTGTCTCTAACCACCCCGCCACCTCCACAATTTTCATTAATACAACTACCATCACTGTTTAACTTAATAAAGAGCAAAGGTTGTTTAAGCCACTTAACCTCAATTATGCACCTTTCAACTAGAGAGTAGTCAAATAGTTTACATATATCTTCCCAATTATTGTTAGCAGTTGGCTTCCCAAAATGAGAGTTAGCTAATTGGGCAATGTTAAAAGTGATAAGGCATTTGGATCTTGCAACTGATGGCCTCTCCATTTCATATTTGCTACAACACCTTGACCTCCACAGCTCCCATACAACATCTTGTTGCTGCCTTTGTTTCGGTTTTCTGATTGCATTACTTAGTGTTAGTTTTGTATTTTCGTTTCGGTTGTCAGATTAGTTTGCTTGTTATTGCTCCTCCCCTCTTTCCTTTCTGAGCCGAGGATCTACCGAAAACAGCATCTCTGCCTTCTTAAAGGCAGAGGTAAAGTTTGCGTACACTCTAACCTCCCCAAACCCCACTTGTGAAACTACACTGTGGGTATGTTGATGTTGTTGTAGCTTTCTCATGTTATGCAACTGAGCTGCTAGTTGTGGTTGTTAGTCTTTGAGTTCTTGAATCTTCATAGTTCAATCATCAATGTATTTCTCTTAATTTTTGAAGGTAGTGTTGAGTACGATGACAAGGAGGCTGGAAATTCAGATCAAGTTAGAATGAATTGTGTTACGTTTGATCTTTTCGAGATAGTAACTTTTAACAAAAAAAATCCTCTAGAGATGTTTTATGTAGATAAAATTAAACAATCAATCAATCTCCTTATATTTTTAGATCCACTTCTATTATGAGTAAATAAATGTATTTAACAATGCGGCTTGCTTTATTAGATAGGTTCGATTAGAGTTCTTTTTTTAAAATAAAAAATAAAAAAATTAAGGTAGCTCGCATAAACAACAGGCGACCTACTACTTAATAATATTCCTTTCAGATTGATTTTCTATAAATTCATTAGGTGCCAATGGCAAAGTGAATGGACACACCTTGGAAAGCTTTTATAAGCCGGGACAAAAAGAAAACTAGGATGAAGTTTTGAGTGGAATAACTTTTTGCAACTTGAATGAAAATGGTTGACATTCAGACCTAAAGTATATATCATTGGATTGAGTATAAAGCATATTTCATACGTTGAGGTGAGACGTCCAAAGAAACAAGCAAAAAAGTCTTACTTCAAAGGCAAAAAGCTTATTCCGATTCTAACAAATCCTGCTGGTTGTATTTGATGGTGGCCACATGATATCGTTCACATTTCTAGAGCATGAGGTCATCGTCATATTTGGCACCTTGACTTGTAGAACAACGTATAATCAGCGGAGCTAGAGATTCGACACCAAGTTCGGCTGAACCCAGTAGCTTTAATCCAAACCATATATTTGTCTTAAGAAATTCATTGAATATATACAAATTCTTACTTTAAAACTCACTAACATAAAAAGGTTAAAATTTCGAACACAGTTCGCTCCGCCTCCGCGTATAATACTCCGGTTAACTAGGCACCTATTTACTGAAACTTTTATTTTCACAAATTCAATGTGAAGAACGAAGCTTACACAACCAAAGTACATCAACGAGGCAGAAGAAGGNAGCTCATAGGCAGGGAAGATGAAAAAGATATACTAATTAAACATTCCAATTAAAGGCTGGAGTTTCACACTTGGCTGATAGAATAACAGATGCTTTTCAATAATCCTGAAATATAAAAACAGAATATAATTGTTAGCTTAAGTAAAATCAATAGCGCTTTATGCAAATGAAGATCAGCACTACTAAAAATCATGTTTCCTGGTCAGACAGTAATGCAAATAAGACTATTATGACATAATAAGTAGAATCTAAGAGTGTTTTTGTTGTTTGAATAGAACAGTCTAATTTCTCTGTCAGCTTTAGTTTAATAGTAGACAAGCTTTTCTCGAAATTCAAGTCTGTTTCAGATGCATATTTAATTTAGGTGAAATATCAAATACGAGGAATCCAATTTTTGATAATCCAGTGTGCAATAAAAAAGGTGTTGAGTACGAAAATTGGCTCATGCGCAAGGAGTTTATGAGGAAATTTTTAAGAGGGACCAGGGAAGTCCAGGGACATCTCAAAACAACTATTAAATGCCAAACTGAAAGTCGAAAAATCGTTGGGAACATTTTCTTCTAATAAAGTTGTAAAGATTCAGTGAATAACGATGAGAATAGTACATTGAATTTACTTCCATCGCTACAATTACTCATATATGAAGTTAGAGCAGTGGCGGAGCCACCTTATAGGAAGGGGTGTCAAATGACACCTTTTCGCGGGAAAATACACTGTGTAGCTAGGTAAAAAAATAAATTATATGTAAATATATTATGTATTTGACTCCCCTTAATTTTCTGGTATGTTTACTTTTATATATTTTGACACTCCTTAACGAAAATTTTGGTTCCGCCACTAAGTTAGAGGTTTATGATGCCTATTCACAGTGTATCTATCAATGCATAATAAGGGTATAAACTTACCATTTTTTCGAAATTAGAGAGAGAGAGAGAGAGAGAGAGATGCAGACCTGGATGCTCAAGAAGAACCCAACAGATTTTGTATGTCTTTCTGTAAAGTGAGAAAGAAGAGAAATTAGTAACAGACGAATAAAAAGAGCTTCAGCAATATATATTTCAATCTGTTTCTTCCATATATTTATTTTTTCTATCTAAAGAACCATAATACTCATGGACTGCTAAATTTTATTATGTTTCTCCGGCAGTATACCACATGATGGAAATTTGGGCATGTTCGACATCAGCAATCAACCACTTAAGACAAGATAAGATTTTCCTTTTATTTCCTGAACCCTTAATGACCAGTAGTGACAGGCAAAGGAGAACATAAATGAACAAAAGAAAAACAGTTTAAGGTGTCAGGCAAAGGTAGAACATAAATGAATAAAAGAAAAACAGTTTAGGTGACCTCAAACTGAAGAGGAGGTGTCCTGGGTGCATATCGTTCCACAATCTTTCCTTCTTTGTTCACAAGAAATTTGGTGAAGTTCCACTTAATAGCATTTCCAAGGAAACCGCCTTTTTCTGATTTTAAGAACTTGAAAAGTGGTGCTGCATTATCCCCGTTCACATCAACCTGTTGAATGAAAAAACTTCCTTAAACAATGTGGATTGTATGGCGTTATATACCTCATTCATCTAATGTATGTCTGTGTAGTATATATAGACACATACGTTTAACATAACTACGAAGAGAAAGGGGGATAGTTTTGAGTTCTCATCTTAGGAGAATTTTTGAGTTATGTTCTGCCCCATGGGTTATTCCCTGAGCAAGGCTTATAGAAGAAAGAGAGATATAAGACAGAGAGAGAAGGCACAACCGTTGCAGCTTACGTGGTTTTCATAGTATGGTTCAACCATGCATCAACGGAAATCGATCAGAAGGTAAAATATCAGTTGTTGAATCTTCAGAGGTAAATATTGTTGGAGAAAAAGAAAAAGTTCGTATGTGCAGTAATGCAAATTAAGCAAGCAACATATCCATGATCAAGTTAAGAAAGAAGAAAGAAGAAAGCCTTCAGTAATGAAAATAGTACCAGTGCATGAATTTAGTTATACACGTTTGGGTTATACAGTAATTTTTACCTTTTCAAATACAGGGAATTCAGCTTTGAACCTGGTGCATACAGTTTCCTGAATCTCCTCATTTGTTCCAGGTTCTTGCCACAAGAACTGGTTACAAGGAAATGCTAAAATTTCAAATCCTGAAATAGCACTTCAATAATTATATTTATGACCACAAAATATGGTTTAGTACCAGAAAATTCAAGATTGAAATTGAAGAAATAAACTTGTAAAAATGACTGGCCAACCTTGATCTTTGTACTTCTCATACAAAATATTTAGCTCCTTGTAGTTTGAATCAGTTAAACCACTGCAAGGAAGAGAGATAACCAAAAATAAGTAAAGACTCGAAAACTTGCCTCTAACACAGACACCGTTTTAATTCTCTAAATTACAGACTTGCAGTAATTGAAGGAATAAATTAACAGAGAGTTTTAAACTTCAATAAAGCAACAAAAACCAGCACAAAGCAATAAATAAAGCCAAGAAAAGGATCCAAAAGGACCAAATAAATAAATTTTAAAAATTAAAATAGAAAGACGAACTTAAGGAACTAACTAACAAAACCAATTTTAATCGAATAACAGAAATAAGCGCCAAAAAGAAGAACGTCTAGTTTGCATCAGCATTAACATTACATAATACAACTTAAATGCCCCCAATAGCACAATGTTTCATAAATTTACTCTGCTGCAGCAACTAACTTATTCCCATGTTATAATAAGTCTAGTTAGCAAATAAATTTACACCTGATCACAGCGATCAAGCAAGACGTAAAGAAACACCAAGAATAGTAACTAGATTACTTCACTTACCATTTTGATGCAACATTGACAATAAGAAGAACCTTTCCCCTATAATTGCTCAAAGGTACCTCATTTCCCAGTATATCCTGCATTTTCAATCTCTTTAGCAACTTTAAAACCGTGTTCCAATAAAGAAAAGAAGAAAACTTTCAGCCAGAAGTTGCTTACTTCTCCTATAATTTGTTAATCTTTAACATTTGAATTCTCAAACCTTTAGAATTCCAATAGTAGTAAATTCTGAAAGTACAAATTTTGAGTAATCCAATTATTATGCCCAAAGTTAAGAAACATGCTCTGAACTAGTTCAAATTACCATTTCAAATTCCTAATAAGTAACTGAAGATCCAAGTAATCATATAGCACCAAACACCAGGAACTTGAATTACCAGTCCAAATTCTTCCTATATGAAAACTAAGACTTTACAAAATCCAAATTAGACTCACCATAAGTGTATTATAAAATTGAAAAATAAAAAGATAAACTGTCTTAGGGTCTCACACACACAAAAACAAAGAGTCAGTACCTGCAAATTTTCATGAAAAGATAAAAATATAAAAGCAGGAAGTACAGATATAAGACCAAATAACAGCAAATCCAAAGTTCAAAAGCAATTACTACAACAAGTCAACAACTGCACCTCGGTCCCAAACAAGTCTGGGTCGGCTACATAAATTACACTGCTTCATTTAAGATCAATTCAAGTCATAAAGTTCAAGTTCAAAAGCAATTATGCATAAAAATTGGATCTTTATTCAATTTTCAGGAAAGAAATGAAAATTAGAACTTGAAAACTAAGGAACTAAGAAACCCCAAAAAGTATGTACCTTGACAGTGAAATCAAAAAGTGATTTGGGGGATCCTTCAGCCATAGTTTGAGGGGAAGAAAAAGAAGGGTATCTATAGAACAAGAACAAGGCAAGAACAAGAAAAAAGAGAGCTGCCAAATTGGTTAACCTTAGCAAATGCATCTTCTAGTTCTGCGTAAATTATATGCATATATAGACAAGAAGATTTAATGGGGCACACAAATAAGGTAATCCAATAAGATATTGGGGTAAAGAAAGCGAAATTTATGACTTTAGCTAATTGATTATTGCAGCGACACATGATTTTTATCAAGCGAGTTCAAAATGCGAAGAATCAAATATATAAAGAGGTCAACAAAAAAATATACTAATAAAATATATTATTATAATTGTCCTCTATGAGTTTTTATTTCAACGTATTCATAATAGTCTCATCAGAATGGTGTTAAATATTTTTCTTTCTACATAAGGTACCAAACAACCGCTCATGAATTCGTCATTCATTCGGTTTCGCAATTCACTCTTGATCAACTTCATCGCCGAAAAAGTTCTTTCAACAGTAGCAGCGGCAACAGGTAGAAGCAAAGCAAATTTCATAAGGCGAAACACAAATGGATAATTCAAATGCTTCTTTGTCTTAACTAGTATTTCAGAAAGATCAACAAGTCCTTGTAGATTTGAAAACCTTTCATCAACATCACGAACATCAACAATATAAGTTTCAAGCTGATTCTTGAGTGTAACCGTTATATTCTCATCAAAATCATCAGGATACAATTCAGCCATCCTCAATATCTTGTTTATGTCAAAACTAGAAAATGAGTCAACTGGATTTAAGCAAGCTACTCCAACAAGCAAGTTCGTTGTCACCTCATTAAAACGAGAATTGAGTTCTTGAACTTGCCAATCAATAATCTTAAAAAATATATCAACACGATAGTGATGTAAAATAGTATAATCAACAACTTTACGTCGAGATCTTCCAGAGTTAACATAGAGGTCATCAAAGTTTGGTATCAAAATATTATACTTGACACAAAATGCAAACACCTTATCAATAAGTGAATCCCATGCTTCTTCTCTTAGCTTTTGCAACCGTCTCTTTGCCACTTCAACAAGTAGAATAGCATTTGCAATATCTTGCTCCTTTTTTTTAAAGGATGTATTAAGCTCATTTGTGATCCCCAAAACATCTCTCATTAGGTGCAACATGAAAGCAACCTCAAATGTTTGACAAATGCTAAGATATCCCTTTGCCTTAGCTCTTTCTTCTAAAGTCCGGGCATCAACAATGATAGTATCAAGAACATCAATAATTGAGCCAAACATAAAAATAAAGTTCTTAAAAGATTTATAGTGCGAAACCCCCAACGAGTATCGGCAGCTCTAGCAAGACCAAGTTCTTGATTCAAACTCCTACCAGTTTTAAGTTCACCCATATCTAATGCCTCTTGAACTTTTTCTGCTTGAGATTCTCGAAGATCATCCATACGTTTAAAAGAACCTCCCACTATATTCAATACATTAGAAACCAACAATACAAGTTCTCCCACTTCAAGACACTTTTTGGATACCGCAACAAGAGTCAATTGAAGTTGGTGTGCAAAACAATGAATGGAATAAGGAGATTTACTTTCTTGTTGAATCAAAGTTTTGAGGCCACGTAAATCCCCTTGCATGTTGCTTGCTCTATCATAGCACTATCCACGCACATAAGATAAACTCAAAGAATGTTGAGCAAGATAATCAACAATTACTTTCTTTAAACATAAAGCAGTAATATTACGAACATGAACGATCCAAATAAAATGCTCCACCACAGATCCCCATCTATTAACATATCGCATGACAATAACTAATTGCTCTTTGCATGATACATCACATGATTCATCAACTAGCAATACAAAAAAGTCTCCATTTAGATCGTTCATAATAGCTTTAACTGTTTCAATTTTACATGCAATGATAATGTCTTTCTGAATTTTATGAGAAGTCAACTGATCATTCTTTGGAGCCTTTTTCAACACAAGATCACAAATTTTATTGCACCTCTCTGCATACCATGAAAGAATCTCAAGAAAATTACCCTTGTTTAATGATAATTCATCTTCACGATGTCTACGGAATAACTCCTTGATTCAATAGGAGTCTCACCACCTCAATTGAAGTCTTCAAGCGAATTTTGTATTCGAGCTTGGTTTGACTGGATTGCCTATCAAATGAAGTTTGAATTAACTGTTTTTGTTTTAATAGATCTTCACATTTCCTTTTTGCCTGATTATGAATACTGCTCGACCCATGCATATCTAATCTGTTCTTTTTGTGCCAACTCTTAAATCCTAAACTTGAAAATACATCACCTCCACCTTGATGAATGCCTGCATCTTGAAATAAGTAACAATACAAACAGTAAGCTGCATCTTCTATCACACTATACTCCAACCAATTAAGATATCCTTTAAACCATTTAGGATTGAAATGACGCTTTAAGCCCGAAAAATCTCTTTGAGGAAACTTATGATATTGGGGTTGGCAAAGACCTCTTCGGAGGTACTCTTCTAATCTCAACACGTTCATTTAGATGAAAGTCTCTAATGGGTAATCTCTCCTTTGGATCAGTCTTTAAAGAATCGAAATCTATTCCTTGTCTTTATTTTTTAGAGGATTGAGGTTGTTCTACTAATTGGTTCAAATTTTCTTCCGCGAGAGTAGCAATTAGAGAGGATGAACTTGATTGTGGTAACTTGGAAGATACCGGAGGATAAAATCTCTTCATTGTAACATAAACTGGATTACCAAATTAGAATTCGAATTAGAAGAATAATTTAATTAAACTTAAATTTAAACTAACATTTATTCATTCTTCACCAAATTTTCTTTTATTTTACATATCATTATATTATAAAATAATTAGATGAGATTTTAATCATCATTAAAAAGCTTTGGACCACAACTTTGGAAGTTCAAAATGTCTTTACAGGAGTTATTGTTTTCATTATAACTTTTCTTAAAGCAACAAAGAGAACAAATAAAAAAATCAGCAATGTATTTTCTAATGATGGGAAAGCATTTTACACCATATTATTTATATCATGAAATAATTGAGTTAATTGAAAGAAACACCTATATAATACAGTTAGCCAAACACATATACACACAAACACTTAAAAAACAAGATTAATCTGAATCCAATGTGTTATAGTCAATTAGTCATCCCTAAATCACTTAATGACAAGATAGACCTAATTTATATGTACAAGAAAAAGATTAAAAATCAGAGAGAAACCTGATGGTGATAGTTGACGGTGAGAGAGTGAGAGGCGACAACTAACACGAAAATATATTGGCTAATGGCAGGAGACAGCTATGGAAGGAAACAATATGACCTTGAAACTGAACTAAAAGATTCAGAAATATGCAGAGAACAAAGAAGGGTTTCGGAATTGAGGCTATTAGTTTGGGAATGGGGTCACTGTATTTGACTGATTTCGAACTCAAGACCTTGGGAAAAATTTGAACCCACTTTGCCAACAGGCTATTCGTCATCAATGTTTCAAGCGGGGTCAAAATAATTTTTATACATAAAACGTTCTTAGAAATATAAAATATACGTATATATACAGTGTTATTTTTCGATGAAGCGGATTTATTTGAACCCTCTTGATCCTACGTGAGTCCGCCCCTGTGATTATTAGATATTGAAAATGAGCTCTTAATTTTGGTAGTTGCTTCTGCCATGTGAATTGCGATTGTTAACTGGTTTTGCTTTATTGACAAGTGAGGTGAATATAGAAAGAACGGAAAAGCGTCTGATATATCCCTCTACCATTAAAAATTATTTGAAATTATCCCTCGTTATGTTATTGGATCAAAAGAACCCCTATCGTCTTGCTATCCAAACACATATACCCTGACTTGACGGACTGAACATGTGGCGTCCATCCAATACTTTTGGTCTATCTGATCTTAGATTAGACCCGACCCACCCCACTACCCGTTACCCGCCCCATGAAATAAAACACAAAATAAGAAAATAATTATTAAAATAAGAAAAAAGTATGAAAATAAAAGGGAAATAGAAAAATAAATAAGAAAAAGAAAAGGATTGGTGCACTCCAATTAATCATCATCGACAATCACCGTCGTCCCACCACCTTCAATTTTCCCACTACAAGCATCATCCCAGCAAATAACAAATCTCACTATTTTCATTTCAAACTCTTCAAATCACGTTCTTCTCCTTGAATATTCAACTCATTTGGACCACGGGAAGGCCTTAAAATATAGCAGAACACTTTGGTGGGAGATGCTACCGGAAAAAATGGCAGATCTGACGCTTTTGCAGCAATTTTGAACTGTCAGAAATAAGGTGCATCACCTTATAACACCTTCACCTATAAAAGCCCAACTCATTTCACTGTGCTATTTGTCACGAATCTCTAACATACAGCTACCCAGTCACGCTGAAAATCGCCATCAAACATTGCAGATCCAATGCCAAATCTAAACCATCCAAAGCCTTCGTCTATGCAAAATACCCTCATCCCTTAAAATTCAACTCATTTGACCATGTCGTTTGCCACAAATCTGAGAAATACTTAAGTTGTAGTGCCCGTCTCTTGTTGATTAATTCTTTTGATGCAATCCATTATCATTGAACATCCAGTACCTTCAACCAACCCTTTGGCTCTCTTTAATTCTTTGTATTTTTGAAGGTGTTTTATGCACATATGGTGTTCTACATCGTTGCCACTATGTTCCTCTGTGCCTTCATTGCTCGTCAGATGTGCCAATTTGTGGATGAGAGATGTGGGTAGTGGGGCGGGTCGGGTCTAATTTAAGATTGGATGGACCAAAAGTCTTGGATTGGTGCCACGTGTACAGTCCGTTAAGTTAGGGGTATATGTGTTTGGATAGTAAGATGGTAGGGGTTCTTTTGATCCAATAGTATAACGAGGGATAATTCTAAATAATTTTTAATAGTAGAAGGATATATTAGACCCTTTTTCCGTAAAAAGAATCCTTTTTTTTACTTTTTGGAGGTACTTGGTGAAATTTAGTAGGCGTTTCGACCTACAACAACGACCCAATAAAATTCTACAAGTGGGATAATAGGCGTTTAAACATAAAAATTACTACTAATTTTTTTAAAAAAAATAGTATTTGAAGTTAAGTTAA